GGTAGAACGTATTCAAGCTCATTCGAGGTGAGTGGACAGATTAATGTATTATAACTCTTGAGTTTAGTATGAGATAACCTAAGTAAATTTTATATGTATTCATAATGATGTTTAAAAGTGTTTAAACATATGATTAGCCAAGGTGATTAGGATTGTATGAAATGAACTATTGAAATATGCATGAAATTGATATGAAATTATTTATTAAAAGTTAAAACATACGTGATATTTTGAATGGCCAAAATGGTATAAAATGATTGGTTTATGACTTAATACATGTTGTGATTGAGTTTCGTAACAATCATGCTTGAACCGGGCAGTCAACAGGCCGTTAAGTGAATTGCCCTGGTGTTGACCGGCACTGGTCAGACCTTGAAACGACGCCGGTTTGGTTCTGCTAGGACAGTTTACAATACAAATTTTGTGAACTGGCGCCGGTCTGAGGGAGAACCGACGCCAATTAGCCTACGAGTTCCTATACTCGTTTTTCGCCAAAAACGCATATTGGGGCGCAGTTTGAGGGGGGTCAACCCTGGCCATCCTATATATGTATATTTTGCATGGAATTGCATGGAAAATTATGTTTTAATGCTAAGACTTGATAGTTGATGATTAAATGCTAAGGCTTGGTTTAGTCATTAGTGATGATATGATATAGACCCTATCTAGTATGATTGTGGTTGATCTAGATCTTAGGTCGGGTGGAGTATCTAGGGATCGTGCGTGTGTCCTCAAAACTCAGTTATGTCGGGTGGAGTATCGAGTGACCGGGCGTGTGTCCTCAAAACTCGATTATGTCGGGTGGAGTACCTAAGGTCGGGCGATGCCTAAAACTCGGATGTTAGGGGGTGGAGTACCCAGGTCCGGGCGGTGCCTAAAACTCAAATATTAGGGGGGTGAAGTACCCAGGGTCGGGCGGTGCCTAAAACTTGTTATTATCGGGAGAGCGGCTCGGTGTCCGAGAAAGGCTATCAACACTCGGTTATATAATGAACCCAAGGTTATAACGGGAAGGCTAAACAATGGGTCAGTCATGGGGAAAGTCAAGGACTAAGTCCACCATTATTTTATTGATTTGATCAAATGACCTATAGGTCGAATATTTTCCAAACGTATATACTTGTGTGTATTTCAAAGACTTGGGGAAAGTTATAAACATATGCATCACCTTATGTTTGGGTCTTATACTTGAAACATTAGTAATTCTACATTTAGCTTGCTTCTCGCTCGGTATTCACGTACTGACCCCTCGGGGGTCACCATTTCAAGTGGAAGCTATAGCTTGCTACCTGCACCTTTGCACGAATGAAGTGATATCAAGGAAGATGTGGTTCGTGCTTATAGATATTTTGTAAAGAATACATTGTTTTGGGCATGCGAGCGCACGTTTTGCCATATGTAGCCCATGATTGACTATTGAATATTTTCGCTATTCATTCAATCTTTTTTGTGATGTTGTTATATATGTTTACTTAGTGATTATGGTATGAACGATGTTCATGAATGCCTTGTCCAATCATGTGGGTGTAACTCGCGGGTGACATTACTTGATTGTACGGCGGTTGTACACACGCTTAGATGGGTTTGGGGCGTGACACCTTAGGTGTTTCACTAATGATTCCAACTGATTCAGAAGTTACTCTGTCCCATTCTACCCACACTTTGGATACCCTCCAAAGATTTACCGTTTGTTGATTACAAAGTAATTTTAACCTCCCAACTAAGATTAAGCTTTAAAAGTATATCTTTGAATGAACTAATCTAAGAGCATAATAAGTGTGAGTGAGCTTAGAGCGAAGTGATGAATTAACACTTTCTCTTTGTTGGATCTTCGTATAAGGTTGTGTTGTATGCTCTAGCTCACTTGCTTCTTTTGTTTTACACTTCTTTTGTATTTATAGACTCTCTGTTGTTGAATGGCGGAACCTTGGAGGTCTGTTTCTCCGATCGCCCAATCGGCGGTGATAAAAAATCCAACCTTTATCAACCGGATCTTTTCATGGAGCATCAACCTGGAGCTTCGAATTGCACCGGCGGAGAAAACGATCAAGACCCGCGGAACCAGCGTCTCTACAACCCTTATCATGACCTCCAAATCCCAATCCAGACATTATACAAGCTTCCCACAGCCCCAGAATTCCTTTTCCAAGAGGAATCTCATGTGCAGCGTCGATCCTGGGGTGAAAACCTCACCTACTACACCGGCATCAGATATCTCGTTGGCGCCTCATTCGGCGGAGTTAGTGGATTTTATCAGGGTGCCAAAGCTTCCGAGCCAGGAGAGAGCTTGAAGCTCCAGATCAACAGGGTCTTGAACGGGTTGGGTCACATCAACAGCAAATTTGGTAACTGGGCAGGTGTGATAGGGCTGCTTTATGCTGGGATGGAGAGTGGCATGGTGGCGGTTAGAGACACGGACAATGCCATCAACAGTGTGGTAGCGGGGCTAGGGACTGACGCGTTCTACAGAGCGGCCGCCGGCTTGAAGTCGGTAGGTGTGGTCGGATTGGGAGTGACTGCGAAGCAGGCTGTGAAAAGATACGTACCCATATGAGTTTTTTTTCCCATATTTGCTACTTGAATATGCAATGTTCTTCAATGTGAAAAAAAAGACTCTCTGTCGTTAAGTATCTCTCGTTGGCTGAGGAGATTCAATCTTGGTCGTTGATTGATCCACTTGGTTTGACTTTTGGAGAGCATGAACTAATTTTGTCTTCATACGGCATGTCCGTAACCCTTTTTGTATTTATACTACCTCTTTACTGTAGTGATGTATTTGAGGTGTATAGGTTGGAGATACAAAATTATTCGCCGTATTTTTCTTTTGATTTTAAGACAATTCATTCACACGCTCCTAAATACTTCTACTATTTGAGGATCCCATAAAAATAATTTTGGAAAATCATTTTTGTTCAATAATTTTGGAGTTCTTCAAAAATATGTAGAGACCATATACTTTGTTTGCAATGTTTAGCATTTATTTCCATGGACTTTATTTTTACTTTTTCCTTTTCCAGAATTATTGTGGGTCCCATCAGAAGTAAGACAATGTGATTTTGACTCTTCTGCAAGAGGGAAAGTTGTATAGAAAATTTTGGTGGTTAACTTTGTTTTGACTTAGCGGAGTTTGATTTTGAGTGTAGGTAGTCCGCTTTTCCTGATCTTGACAGTAGGCTTGTTGTTGTTCACCTGCAAGCTACTGGTGAACAAAAATTCAATTAACTCTTTTTGTACCTTCTCTTTTTCTTTTGGTACGTTTTCTCTATATACTACTCTTCTTTCTATTTTCTTTTTGTTGTGATTACTTTTCTTCTTTTGCGAGTTCAAATGCAACAAAAATTACAAAGTACATCAAACTAAGCTTCTAGTCTATTAAAGATGTATCATCAAAATCTAGAAGGGCCTAACAGTGACCAACAATCATCTTCTTTCTCACCCGCCCACTGTCAACCACCCTTCACCACCGTCTACCACCACCTCCCGGAGCTAGAAAATCCTCCATACTACTCTCCCCTATGATTGGGCTGAGTATTATCTTGAATATCCGTTCTCCATCTACTACAAACACTCGTTTAAGACATGTTTGGTAACACTGAAATTGACTAAATCGGTCGATTCTGCTGAAATTAAAGAGATAATACAGGATTGGCTGAATCCGCTAATTTTTTTTGGTCAAAAATCCGCTGAATTATATATATAAAAAATTAAAATATACTACGTGGGCAAATAAAATACTGCACCAACGAGAGATATTCAACGAGAGAGATTAATAAAAAAAAACACTCGGAGTATTTCATATTTCATATTACGGTAAAGTGGTCTTTTACCGTAAATTCAGTCAATTTAACCAGAAAACTAATTTCTATCTTACTTATTTTGACTATTACAGAACTCGACATGTGAAATAAAAAACCACTTATTTAATGAAAAACTTGATTGAAAACCGAAGGAGCTCCTAAGGAGGTGTTTACTTTGCTGCTAAAGTCACAGTTAGGTTAGTAAGCCAGGTGAAGTAAACACACAAGCTGATTCAAAATCTACTTACTAAGGGCGGGGTAGGGGTTGGGGGTATGGGTACGCGTCGAGGTGACACCCACATATTATATTATATACTTGTGTTCATGAATGTTTGTGTGTCTATATAGGGTTTAATGCACCAAACCCTCCTGTGATTTGGAAATTCGGCGCATTATCCCCCTGTGATTTAAAAAATGCGTCAAACCCCCCTGTGTTTTAATTAATCATGCGCCAAATCCCTTATGTGAACAAATTCAATTATCAAATAAAAGAAAAATGATTAACATTTTTGTATTGATTCAGAGATTTTGACATATTTATTTGCATATTCAATCAAAATATTATGAAAAGTGATTTTCAAATTATTAAATTTATTCATAAAGGGGTTCTGTGCATGATTAATTAAAACACAAGGGGGTTTGACGCATTTTTTAAATCACAGGGGCTAATGCGCCGAATTTCCAAATCAAAGGGGGTTTTGGTGCATTTTACTCTGTCTATATATGTCTATGATTATTTTTGACATTTTAATGTTAAACGATATTTTAAATTCTTTGAAGTTTACATGAGCTTACAGCACTGCTTATTTTATGAGCCGCTTATTAAAGCAAATTTTAATAAGAACCGTTTAATAACGAGTGAAGTAAATGTGTCCATAAGGAAGGGCCCTTTAATCCATTAGAGAGCTCTACGTCTCTACTCCATCCATTTGGCACCTAGCGAGGCAGCCATAGATCAAATTCCAAGATTAGCGTTCCCGGGTTATTCGTTCAAAATCAGGGGTACTTAAAGCTTTCCCTTTTCTTCTTCTTTTTCGCTTTCATTTTCTATATCACTGTACTCTAAATCTTTAATCCCTGTTATTGACTTTTTCTTTTTCTTTCAAACTTTTCCTTTTAAGTTAAATAATAATTAATGGTCGTATTTGTAGTCCATCTCGGTATCACAGCAGGCTACAGAAGCTAGAGACCAACGCCCGGCCCAACCCAACCCAGAATTCTCTCACACCTATATATACTGAACTGGGCAGAAAAGAAGGAAATTCAAATTCCCTTCGTGGGAAACCCAGAATAATTCCACTGCAAGAAAAAGAAACTGAAATCAAAGAATCTGTATGAATTAATGGCGGTTTTATGGTGATTGGTATTTGGTCTGGTGAGTTAAAGTTTCGATTTTTACTCATATTATTCTTCATGGGTATAAGACCCTGTTTGTAATTTGTTGTCCTCTGGTTTTGTTTTCAAAAATATTTGATGAATGATCAAATATGATCCGTTCAATGTTAGAACATACTCAAGTAAAAAACACATACCAGAGAAAAGGAATCATCGCATACCCTCCTTCACATGGGGTAAACGGTAATTTCCATAAAAACCCACCCCCACCCCCACCCCCACCCCCATCAGGAAACAAGCTTAGCCCTGCAGTTCTTTTCATAATAATCATAGTCTCCGTCCTGTTCTTCGTCTCTGCTCTGCTCCACTTGCTCGTCAGATTCCTAGTCAAGAAACCTTCCGGCGGAGAATCCGGCAGAGACCATCCAGAAACGAGCAGTAACTCCGACGCGCTCCAGAGACAACTCCAGCAGCTATTCCATCAGCACGACACCGGGCTGGACCAGGCTTTCATCGATGCCCTGCCGGTCTTCGTATACAGAGAGATCGTATCCGCCGCCGCAGGCGGCGGCGGGCCAAAGGAGCCATTTGACTGCGCGGTCTGTTTGTGCGAGTTCAAAGGGAGGGACAAGCTGAGATTGCTCCCCATGTGTGGGCACGCCTTCCACGTGGCCTGTATCGGCACGTGGCTGCTGTCGAACTCCACGTGTCCTCTCTGCAGAGGAACGCTCTTCCACCCTGGGTCTTCCGTGGAGAATCCCATGTTCGATTATGACGAGGATGTTGGGTTGGATTCTGCTGACGTGGTTTCTCGCAAGGAAATTGCTGAAAAGGGGGAGAGTCAGAGTCTTCTTCCGGTGAGATTGGGGAAGTTTTGTAAAGTCGAAAATGGCAATAATGGAGAAGAGGGTGAGCCTGGCGGGAGCAGTTTGGATGCAAGAAGATGCTTTTCGATGGGATCATATCAATATGTTGTTGGTGATGATAATCTCAGGGTGGCCTTCAATAAGAATTTCAAGAGAGGAAGAGACGATCAAGATCCGCTGCCTCCGCCGCCGCACACGGCGGCTGTTGACGGTGGAGAGGGAGATGGGAAAAGGTTAAGTATTGGAACAAAAACTGATAGCTTCTCTATTTCCAAGATTTGGCTTTGGTCAAAGAAGGGCAAGTTTGGTTCTTCGGATTCTCGGGTTTGATGAAATCTTGTTATTTGTTTGGTTGTGGGCTCGATGATTTGATGATTTGAACAAAAGAAAAACGTCTGTTTACTACTTTACTCTTTCCAGAAAACGTATGAAGCTTCAAATGCAGTAAATAGAAAAATATTGACCTTCCAATTTGGAAAAACCACTTTTCCTATTACTCCATATGTTAGAGTGATCACAAAATTGTCTGATCTAAGTTATGATTATTTTTTGGTGCTCACTCATAGTTCTTTCAACCAAAATTTAAACACCCAATGATCCAAATGCAATTTATTGTTTGTTGCTCACTCATAGTTCTATCACTTGTTCTAAAAATCGGCCTAGTCGGACCGATTAATCGGCCTAGGCGGCCCTAACGGTTGAGGCCTAGTCGGTGAAAAAATCTGCCCAGTCGGACAAAAAATCGGCCTAGTCGGCCGCCTAGGCGCCTGTCAACCGCCCGAGTAGCACCTAGCCAGTTTTAGAACAATGGTTCTATTAACCAATTTTTTGACACTCCACTGCAAATGTAAACACAAGAAGTTTGGTGAGAGTGAGAAAGCTAACATTATGACTGCTATAAAACAATACTCTGTAGTAGACTAGTAGTCATGTATAGTGAGGACCTAAGTGTGGAAATGATGATGAGGTTGTGGAGTTTGGTGGCCCTAGATTCGCTATTAATAAATAATAAGGGACATAGAAATTAATGATGCCTTGTTTGATATCGGGGATGATAAGGCACCAGGACCGGACGGGTTCTCCTCGGCTTTCTTTAAAGCCAACAGGAGTATTGTTGGGAAGGACATGGTTCGGGCTACTAAGGAGTTATTTCGAACGGGAAAATGGTTAAACAGATTAATCACAACTGTCGTAGCACCTATCCCTAAGACTAGTCACTCCCCTAAAGTCTCGGACTATCGACCCATTTCATGCACGAATGTTTTATATAAGGTTATTACAAAAAATTTTGCGGCTAGATTAACCTCATGCCTCTTGGGGTTGGTTAATCAAGCCCAAGGAGCGTTTGTGGACGGCCACCTAATGTTTGATAACATTTTCCTTGCCCAGGAACTTGTTAGAGGATACAATAGGAAGCAAATCTCACCTCGATGTATGATTAAGGTGGATTTGCCTAAGGCCTATGACACTATATCGTGGGATTTTCTCCGAAAGGTATTAGGGGGTTTGGGCTTCCCCTCTAGGTTTATTGGCTAGCTGGATCATGGAATGTGTTTCCACTACCTCTTTTTCGGTTTCTTTGAATGGCTCATTGTATGGATTTTTTAATGGTAAGCGTGGCATACGTGTCCCCTTTGCTATTCGTGTTATGCCTGGAATATTTCTCCTGGTTGCTCACCATGACAACCAAAGGAGGAAATTTCAATTTCCGCCCCCAATGTTCTTTTTTGGGTATTACTCATATAGCCTATGCGGATGACCTAATGCTCTTCTCGAGAGGTGACACATAATCCATAGAAATATTGGTTAACGCTCTCAAAGACTTTGAGGACATATCGGGGCTAAGAGTTAATCATGAAAAATCCAACATTTTTGTTGGTGGGGTAAGGGACTTGGAATTACAAAATATACTAGACCTAGTTGACTATGGGCAAGGCACATTCCCGGTTAGATACCTTGGAATTCCCCTTGACCCTTTAAAGGTTTCGGTTGCGCAATACGCACCTTTGATAGACTTGATTAGAGGCTTTCTTAACACTTGGAACACAAAGACGATATCCTATGCCGGAAAGATAGAGCTAATTAGATCGGTGATCCAAGGGGTCCAATTTTTTTGGCTCCAAGTCTTCCCGGTCCTCCAAACCATTTTGGATATGATTGTGTCCATTTGTAGGATTTTTTTGTGGGGTGGTAAGTTTGCAAAAGTTGCATGGAACGATATATGCTTACCAAAAGAGGAAGGTGGTCTAGGCATCCATAATGCTAAGATTTGGATTCACACCCTCCTTTCACGTGTCATTTGGGATGTATTTAATAAAAAGGATACCTTATGGGTAAAGTGGGTGAATGGTGTCTACCTTAATGGTAGAAGTGTGTGGGATTTTATCCCACACAACCGAGACTCTCAGCTAATGAAGCGGATGAGTCTCATTCCGGACAAGTTGCGTGGGTGTTTTAATAATTTGAATGACACCATATTGGGCCTTAATTCAAGGGCCATAAATGGTAAGTTAATTTCGGGTAAGATATATGAACTCTTAAGAGTAAAGGGTGATACTAGGACTATGATGAGCTTCATCTGGAAGTCCTACATTCCCCCTAAATTCTCCTTCAATGTATGGTTGGCATTACGAAACCGGCTTCCTATCCAGGATAGCCTTGGTTATCTACATATAGTGAATAGATGTGACTTATGCAAGGGTGGTTTGGAAACAATACCACACTTTTTTTTCAATGTCCTTTTACATGTAGGGTATGGCAAAGGATTAGGGAATGGATGGGAATTAGCCACCAAATGACCATGCTACTTAGCTCGGTTAAATGGATCGTAAGGACGCACAAAGGGTCGAAATTGAAGGCCAAAGCAGTTAGACTGGCATTCTGTGCTGCGGTCTACTACACTGGCACGTAAAGAACGCGACAAGGTTTGATGAAGTAATAAAGATGGAGGAGCACATTATTGCTAAGATCAAGACTGTGGTTTATCGGATATCTTGATCAATTTTTGAGTAGAAGACCATGGCATGGATATCTTGGATGTCGTGGTATGTTCACTATGGGTGCCGTGACATGGACTTTCTGAATGTCGCGACATGGACCTCTTGGATGCCGCGGCTTGGGCACATGGGACACTGTGGCATGGACATCATGGATGCCGCGGCATGAAGCAATGGTTCTACTAGTTTTAACTTTTGGCCGATTGTATATTACGACAAGAACATTGCTAGACTTATACAATAGCCTCTGCCAACCCTTTTTACTCCTATATAGGGGGGTTGGGGGAGGTTATGGACTTTAGATTTGGTTAGAATTTTGTAGATCGTATGATCTGGGTGCGTGCATGTGCAGCACCGATTGTTTTTGGTGTAGATTAGATCGAACAAAAACCTCCTTTCACCCCTACTTTATGTGGGGGTGGGGAGTGTTAGGAGATCTAGGATACTTGATGTATAGTTTTCTGGGTGTTAATATATTTTTACATTTCATCCAATAATAATAATAATAATAATAATAATAATAATAATAATAATAATAATAATAATAATAATAATAATAATAATAATAATAATAATAATAATAATAATAATAATAATAATAATAATAATAATAATAATAATAATAATAATAATAATAATAATAATAATAATAATAATAATAATAATAATAATAATAATAATAATAATAATAATAATAATAATAATAATAATAATAATAATAATAATAATAATAATAATAATAATAATAATAATAATAATAATAATAATAATAATAATAATAATAATAATAATAATAATAATAATAATAATAATAATAATAATAATAATAATAATAATAATAATAATAATAATAATAATAATAATAATAATAATAATAATAATAATAATAATAATAATAATAATAATAATAATAATAATAATAATAATAATAATAATAATAATAATAATAATAATAATAATAATAATAATAATAATAATAATAATAATAATAATAATAATAATAATAATAATAATAATAATAATAATAATAATAATAATAATAATAATAATAATAATAATAATAATAATAATAATAATAATAATAATAATAATAATAATAATAATAATAATAATAATAATAATAATAATAATAATAATAATAATAATAATAATAATAATAATAATAATAATAATAATAATAATAATAATAATAATAATAATAATAATAATAATAATAATAATAATAATAATAATAATAATAATAATAATAATAATAATAATAATAATAATAATAATAATAATAATAATAATAATAATAATAATAATAATAATAATAATAATAATAATAATAATAATAATAATAATAATAATAATAATAATAATAATAATAATAATAATAATAATAATAATAATAATAATAATAATAATAATAATAATAATAATAATAATAATAATAATAATAATAATAATAATAATAATAATAATAATAATAATAATAATAATAATAATAATAATAATAATAATAATAATAATAATAATAATAATAATAATAATAATAATAATAATAATAATAATAATAATAAGGGACATTAAAGATAAAATGTGTTGATATAGGTCCAGGAATGGAAACCATCAATTAAAGACCTAAAATATCATAGATCTTCATGATGAAAATAAATCGTTGAGGAGACAAATTATTATAAAAAACTAACTAGTTGAAACTCAATAGAAAGTAGGAATATAACGCACAAGGCGATCTCCATGAGATAAGTGTTTCCGCACAAAATTGATATACTTACTCCTGGCATGCTGAATAAGATTCATATAAATATTATCTCAAAAACTTGAACTGGTGCTCACGGGAAGTCCAACCTCATAAATAATAGTACTCCATCCGTCCCATTATAATTGTAGATGGACGAAGCATCAAACGATAGGAACAGGTACCCTGAAATGACAAAACCATATGTGAAGTACGTGGTGCTAGCATAAATTGAGAAATCAAGTGAAAGACAAATGTAATCTTTGGCTAGTCAGGTTAGGTACTCCGTACTCTAATGCACCTATCAGTAAGGCGAAGTTTAGTTCTGCTAGGAAGAGAAGTGCAAACTGATTTCAAGGTATGCAGATGAAAGCGATTAAGAATGTCACATATATTTATGTTGATGAAGAAAAAGACCAAAAGTAGTATGTTTAGCATGGATAATTGATGCCTAGAAAAATGTGGATCCCCGAGATCTTTGATAGCAAAATATATTGCCAGGAGATACATAAAACGACTAATGAATCTGGGAAAATTTCTTGTAACAATGATATCATCTACGTACAATAATAGATAAATAATGTCAGACGAACATTGATAAATAAATTCACTTAGAACCAAACACATTTTATGGGAATTAAAGAATAATAAATCCTATGTATGATTGACAATAAGAGCATTAAACTCTTCAACAATACCCTCTCACCATTTAGGTTATTTACTAGCAACTCAAAAGCATGAAGGATCTTGTGTTGTAACAATTATTACATGGAAACTAATATCTTTGATCATCTTTGCACAAATAATACATACAAAAAGTTATTGACGCCAATGTTTTACAAAAATGTTACTTGA